GAAATTAAATCTCAAGTGCTACTAAAGTAATAATCTACAATATTTTGATTTCAAATTAAACTATTTGAAAAAATTGAGTATTTAATACTCAATTTAAAAAAATTGAGTATTACATCTAAACAATGGGGGGATTTTGTTCCCTTATGTATTAAATGTCTGTAAATTGCCATGATTTTTTAAGGGGTTGATTTACAGATGCTTTAAATGCAATTTCTTTCCCCCTCCACCCTTTTTTTCCCTTTTGTTTCAGCATCTATTCCTTCCTCTTTAAAAAGAAGGAAGGAGATCCTGAAATTGGCATTATTTTTTCCTGACTATATGTAGTTTTTAAGAACACTGTAATTTATAAGACTACTTACAAAAACAAATAACTGTCAAAGCAAGGCTAAATATGTCTGATTTGACTAAAGTAGGAAATGGCAAATATCTTTTATATAAGTTTATATGTCAGTATATATAAAGTGTAGAAAACTGCACATCAGGGAAGCTTTAATGAACATAGGTGTTCATATATGCTACTTATCCTTTCACCCAGTGCTTCCTTTTGCCTACATGTTCAGCCTTTTGTAGTAATACAGATGTATGTTTTTAGCTGTTATAAAGCTTAATTTCATTATTTGAGAAAACAGGCAGTGAGATGAAGGAGTTATATAAATGATTGGATTAATTTACATCTCTCACAAATTTAGAATATATAAATGATACCCCAGATGCATTTTATCTGTGTTAAAAAAGCAGTCATGTTCTGGTGAGGTCAGCAGAAGAGAAACTGCAGTTTTCTTATTTTTTTAGGCAAAAGTGCTTATTGCAAAAATAGGAGGGGTTGGGCTTGTGCCTTTTGTGGGTATGTTCAGGAGAATGAAAACTGATTGATGGATGAGTAACAAGAAGGTGGAAGTAACATAACCACACCAAAGGATATGATCTAAGTCAAGGACCTGAAACATCAGGCTTTGTACAGTTAAAAAAGAAGAAAAACCTGTCTGCAGGCAGTGACAGACTGGCACTGAAATACTGGCACTGAAATATTTATGCTTTGACTTATGGAAGTTACCCACTCTTTCATTCTACAGAGCACCCTGTGAAGACCACCAGCTTTCCCTGGCTCCTAGTTTGGGGTTGCCACTGTGCCAGGCTTTTGTAGAGTTTGAAAATGGAAATTGTGACAAAGCTGTAGACCTGCTGTACCCAATCCGTTATCAACTAATCCAACTGGGAGGCAGTAATGCCCAGGTAAAGGAGACAAGAAAAGACTGTTTCATATGATTTAATCCCCTTTCAGGAGCCTCCGTTAGGCACTTACCTAATCAACAACATTTCATTCTTAGAAAGTGAAAGCTGAACTGTGCTTGTGACTGAATCCAGTTTGCAAACACTTACTGGCAGGGTTAGCTGTTTAATGTTGATATGTTTCCTCTCTGTGGATTTAATAATTTGGTAAACAATACATTGTAACTGGCAATGCATTATAAATTACTTATTACTTTGTATTTTGCTGACTCTTTCTTTCAGAGAGATGTTTTCAGCCAGTTATTGATTCATGCTGCTTTAAATTCTAAATCACAGGCCAAACGAAACCTTGCAAGGTGAGTGTTTTCACTGAAAAATATTTGTGGAAGTAGTAATGTTATTAAAAGTAAAAAGTAATGAGTATACTCAAACCAATAAATTTAAAGCTAGAATTATATGCAGCCGTTTATGTGAAATGTAGAAGCATTTAACCAGGAAAAAAGTACATTAGCTTCCAATTCCAAAAGTACACTCTTGCAACCTGGATTAATAATCTGTATTTGGTCAAGGGTAGTTGATTTTCAAATGGTTCTATCTTAATCTGTTCATGAGTGTACATTATGGACTGCTAAACTTGTGTGAACTGCTGCAACTGCAGTCTGTGCTGCTGCTGCCATCTGCACTGGGACAGACGAGGTGTGCTCTGACATGTCCAGCTGTGCCCTGCTCCGTGCAGATCACGGGAGCCCTGCTTGGTAGAACGGTCCGTGTGGTTTATCCCCCCCACTGAGTTCTGCTGAAACACAGTGCATGGCTCTGCCTGGGCACTCAGGAATGGATCCTTGGGACAGTAGGAAGCCTTGCCTCTTCCCCTCCTGAGGTCTCTCTGAAGCATTACAATTGAGTACAATAGCAAAATGATGCTTCTGTGCCCTCTGAGCTCTGGGTGCTCGTTTTCAGTCTGTCAGTGCTGAAAACAATGCTGTTCTGTCTAAAAGGGATTCCTGCCCAGGTCCAGTGTATCCAGTAAGGAAAATCTGTGCCTCGAGTACAGGTCTTTATGGACTGATTTCCTCTTACAAGGACACTGCTGGTGATCTTACAGGAAAACTGATGCTGTGCTCATGGATGTCCTGTTTCTCTCCTCCTTTCTCAGGTGCCTCCTGAGAGAACGTGATGGGGTGAGACCCAATTCACCAATGACAGAGCGACTTATCAGGAAGGCAGCAGCTATCCATTCCATGGCATAAGGCTTTCCTCCATGCTTCAGGTGAGAGAGCAATGTGCTTACCACAAAGTCTGGGTGCAGGGAGGGCAGGGGTGCTGTGCTGGAATTCAGGGAGGTTCCCAGGGATCAGAGATCTGACAAAACAATTTTCTTAAAAAAAGGACGCAGCTGTTGCGTTTCAGGAGGTTGTATCTTAGGTGATTCCACAAAGAAAGAAGAAAACCTGCTGATAATGCACAGCTTTCTGTAGCATCCCAAGGGCACTGCTTCTCTGGTATATTTTCCTGAACATTCCCTCTGACCCTGATTGTATACAGTGCAGTAACAGTACCTGGATTTCAGTCATTCTCTGGGCCAGTTTGTTACTTGGCTCATGTGTTAAGTAACTAATAACTGCTCAGGTAATTCAAAGGGAGCTCTTAAACAAAGCTGAGAGGAAGGTGTGGGGTCAGAGCCAATACAGGCTTGAAATGAATTCCATATTAAGCTTCTAGTCTATTCAGGAATGAGTCACAGACTTGGGCATTTCATATCTGTCTACATTCAGGATCTCTTTCCAGGTGCACATTTTTAAACTCCCTCTCATAAAATGTTAGGTTTTTCCTCTCAGTATAGCATGGCAGAGCTTTCTAAAATTATTATGTAGATGAAAACAGACAAGAGGGATAATAGTGACTATTCACTTTAAAATCTTTGAGAAAAAAAGGAGAAGCCTGGACTTCAGCTAAAACAGTACCGTCTCTGCAGGGTACTTTGGACTGGGGTCTTTGTGCTTATCTGAGCTTTTGGAAAGTCAGGCCTCACTATCATGTCGTGACAAGTCCCTGCATGTTAGCCAGATGGTGTTTAAAACCAGTGTGAAAGCGCACACTCTCTCCGAGCAGGTGAAGACTGAAAGGGAGCTTCTGCCATGGAAAGAGAGCAAAGCTCTGTCCCAACACGTGTGATCTGATAAGCTATGGTGCTGCAAGTGAGGCACAATATGAACCTCTATCAAGTTCTGATGCCACTGATTCCTGCAGTGTACCAAGTTAACAGATTTCCTTGCAATAGTATTCCAGAAATCTGGGATGATGGGAAAGATGGTATTTCGAACAAAAACTGAACCAATGCCTCTTCTTCCTGAATAGAAATGCCACACTCTTCAACTGCCCAAGCTCTGGCTTTGCTACCACATCTGCAAACTCTCCTGGCCACAGATGCCTTCCCTTCCATCCTGCCCAGCTCAGGCTCTTCCCCATGGTCCACAGAAGCCTCTTCCTACACACAGTTTCCTTTCGACCTAAAAAAGCACTTCCATAGCTGGCCCTGCGCTGCCCCTGGAGTTTCTGCATAGAGGAACAAGAAGTGGAAGTGCCTTGCTGCCATCCTGCCCCCAGCCCTCCTCTGGGGCAGAAATTGCTTATTTTCAAAGCAATAATAATTTGTGAAACCGGGTGAGCGGTTGCATTCTTTTGTGCAGTCTTGTGACATTATGACTACACCGTTCTTCAGCTTCATCACTGCTTTGTCTGTCCAGCCATGGCTGGGGGTGACTCACTCTGGACTAAAATTACACTGGATTTTTACTCTTATTTTTAATCAGTGCATTTCAAGCAATGACTTTAGACAGGACCTTTTTACTCAATGAATATAACAAATCTGATTAGGGAACAAAAGCCTGAGGAATCTCTGGGTGTGTTTGCAGGGTGTAGTTTATGCGATCCATTGCTACACAAGTTTAAGAATGACAGTTGAAGTACTTTTGATATGACATAATTGAGAATTTTGTCTGCTTTACATCAATAAACTCAAAGATGGATTTAATTGAGCAAGCAAGTATATGACTTCTTTACATATGTGAAGTTTTAAACGTGTTATTCAGCTTAATTTCATAAACCCGTAACAGTGTGCATCCACTTCGCTTCCATCACTGGGACTAGAAGCACCCCCTGGCAGCAGGGCAGTTTTGACAATGTGAACAGCACTGCAATTCCTGTTTCTTCCTTTGTCCTTCTTCTACATGTTGTGATTTGGACTGATTTTAAGCTGTCAGCATCTCGCTGGCACCCTCCATCTAGTGGCCTGCCTTGTAGCTTACAGGAGTGTGGGGAGCACTGTGTCTGAGAGGTGCCTCATTCAGATTCTTTTAAAGTCAATCATCTAGATATTAAAAAATGCACCCTTAGAATGAGTCAGTATCTCACTACTTCAAGATATTAAACCCAGTAATTTTGATACTACTTCACTTAATTATTTCCCCTTGTTTTAGGACTTCAACAACTGCTCAGAGCAGCTGTTCAATTACATGAAATCCAAGCAAATTACCCCACCACATTAATATTAAATGTATCTTAGTTAGGAAGTTAATTTCCAGAAATATTCTCCCTGAATCAAGACTATTCTCTCCTTTGTACTTAGCTAAGCACCTGCACTATAATGCCAACCCACATCTGTGCAGTTCTGGTTTAGACATGTGGAAGGAAAACACAGAGCACAGGCAGCAGCTGGTTCTCTGCCGTGTTTATGTATGGAGACAAACGGCACACTAACAAGCAAAAACTGACTGAAAACACATTTTATTTGCAAATATAGCAAAGTCAGTGATTCAGGAACTCTACAGGCAAACAAGAAAGATCTTAAAAAGTGGCAAAATCTTCCCCTTTTAATGCTTTACTGACATGTTTTCATTTAGTTCTAAGACAGTCATTTTAATAAGATTTCCTGGGTTTATCTTTTCCCATCCTCTTGGGAACTTGCAATCTCTGAGTGGTTGACAGATTTATATCACAGATGCAAAAAACTGGAAGGCTATTGGTGTTACTGTAAAGCTTATCTGAAAGTAAAAATTACTGCTCCTCTGTCCTCACCAACAGTTTCCCTCTTAACAGCTAGACTGCCTGAATAAGACATCTTTGTACAGAGGGTCTTCAGTTCTGTCAGCTTACAGAGTCCTTATTAAAATCCAGTGGAAACTCTGCACAAGTTTCTGGTGGGGTGTTTTGGGAACAATAAAAAGCAGGTAACTGCAAAAAAGGGCTCAGACACCATTGTTAGGGTTATACATCGTGGAGAAAGCGAGTTTCTCCAAAGCAGAGTCAGGGAAGCAGTATGTGGGATCACCCACAGCTACCTCAAAACACAAAGGAACCTCACTTGTCAGCGTGTTGCCCAGTGCAACGTGGGCAACAAAACATGTGGACAATGTCTTAGGACAGCAGTTCTACCACTGGCCTTGAGAGAACGTAACCGATCTCTTCCAGTTGTGTCCTACATCTGGAAAAACGAAAATTAACGCAAATAGGACAGAAAATCTCGATGCTTCTTAAGAAGTTTCTCCTGTCCTATCACATTTGCAGAGCAAATGTTCGCACTGAGAAAGTACGTGGCCACATCCACTGCAAAGCCTGGCTCGTTGGGACACAGCCTTTGTACCCTTACAGCCATTAGCTGCAGCCAAACCCTCAGTTTCAGTGTCTGCTTACTCATAGGTTGTGGCTTTCACAGCTTCAGTTCAGCTCTCTTTTTGTAGAGGTCAAAACAAGTTACTGCAGATCTCCACAAAGAATTTGATCCAACAACTTTCTGATCCATCTGCCATTGTACAGATGAAAATTTTCCGCTCAGGAATTAACGACGTGGATTAATATCCTAAATATAGGCTTTTTCTTTTTTTACCATTTGAACTCGAAACTCGTATCAGCATTAACAAGCAGTATTTTGAAAACAGACTCTTCATTCTTACCCACACTGAGCTGTTTACAGTAATGACAGATTAGAGGATCAAGAACAGATGAATTCTGCACTGAAAAGAATCTCTATAAAAACCTGAATGCTTCCTTAAAAACTACTGTACTGTTAATTTTATTTCTAACAGTTTACAAAGAGAAATCCTCTCTGTTTTTAAGACAATGCACTTATAATTGTTTGCCCACAGAAGTCATAACATTCAATTTCCCATCCCACAATTCTGATTTTCCTGCTACGGTTATCCAAATGTCTATGCTTCATTTAAAAGAGGAAGAAGAGAAGAGAAGGCAGTTAGTCTCAAGTGTAACATCTGTTTTGCCAGCCCTCCTCAATGCAAAATTTGTTCGGATTAACATTCCAAAGAACTATATTAAGAAGAAAGAAGTCACCAAGTATGAGAACACCTGCAGTATGGAAAACAAGATGAGGGATACAAACTGCCACGATCCCTCTAAGATATAACACATTTTTTTTCATCCTCTTTATACTCTATTATGTACTCTGGGTAAATCTGGTGTTTTTCAAAGACAACAAAAACAGAAGGATTTAACTCATCATCCACACAGCTGTCATAAAACCAAAGCCCGTCCGCAGACTTCCTTGGAGGGCGAACATAGGCTGCATTCCCTTTAATGTAGTCTCCAACCAAAACACGAGCCACGAACATCATGTTTCCTTTCTCCACAGCCTGGCAGTATGCATGGGAATAGGAAGCATCTCTAGCAAAGTAACTTCCTGGAAAACAAGATGAAAACGTAGTTTTAAGGAGTACCTACACAGAGACAGCAAAAACTGAGCATCCCCTTGGTTTTCAGGAGGTATCTGACCTAACTTTCAGGACTCCTCTGACTCAGGTTACATTATATCACCAAACTTTTTGCAAGAAAAAGGATTTCACCATATAACTTCCATTCAGAATTCGCTATTTCAGGAGTCATTTTTTAAAAAGCAATAAATATAAGCTCACTACAGGTATTGTGTGTTAAAATGAGAGGGACAGACAAGAAAATATGAGGACCTTCCATGATCACACCAAGGGAATGCACACCCTTCTTGCTCCCTGCCATAAAGACTTCTCTTGCAAATTCAGATTATGACCTCAAGCATCAGATGGTCCCACCTACAGCAAACCCCTACATCAATTGTCTGGACATCTTGTGAGAAGACTTGCCCCCACACAAAGCAAATCCCAGCCCTCTTCAGAAGAAGGAAGATCATAATACCTATCCGTACCTTTTTTTTTTTCACCTTCTATAAAGACTTCAGGACTTTGAATGTTCCACTATCAGGGTAGTCTGGGTAGACATCTAACACACCAAGTCACTTCCTACATACCCATTCCATAGTTACTGCCATTTTTTCCACAAATCCTCCAGTCAAAGTTCCGAGTGCAGATGGCTTCCATGAAGGAGATGTTGGTTCCATGGAACAGGAGCTTTTCCTGCACTTCCTTTCCTCCATTTTCCCTTTTCATCTTCTCCTTTTGCCTGACAACAACGCAGAGGAGGTGAATGTGAGCCATGGAAGAAAAGGGAGAAGGAAGTTTAAAAAAAAAAATCAAAAAAAGTAAACCTCAAACAACTCTGCAATGTGCTTGTAAATGTCAGCTGGGTGAGACTTCCAGCCTGCCTTCTCCTCTCAGCTCAGAAGATGAGACAGACCAGAAGCATGCTGAACAAGTGCCAGATAAGTACTGTACTGATACCACTGCTCAGCAATTCTAGATAATTCTGACTTTACTCTGAATTTAAGCAAGCATTGACACAAGTCTCCACTGTACCACCCTTTTGCTCCTCTGTAGGGTCCTACTGATGCTGCTTTAAGGTCTCCTGTTCCTTCCCACCCTGACTCTCAGTGGAGTGGAGGCAGCACTAACCATGGAGCCTCCATGCTTCTGCGGTGGCTGAAAGCTACAGGCAGCTTGTTCTTCGTGCCAACACCCTGAGCTCCTGCCTCTGGGGGAGATCAGTGCCACTGAGGAGACCAGGCCAGGAGAGAAACCGAGCCTGCTTTCACCACTGCAGACCTCACTGATTTAGGCCAGAGTCAAACTAAGCTATGAACAGGGTCAAAAGAGGAATCACAACAAAAGGCTCAGCGAGTATTTCCTATCACTATTCCACAGCCTCCAGACATCCCTTGGGTTTTCAGAAGCTGTTGAAGTGGACAAGACAGTAATATTCTTCAAAAAATGATCAGCTACAAAGTAAGCAGGGCCGGGAGGAGGGGAGAATCCTTCCAACATGTAAATTACAAAGTGAAAAGTTAAAAGCAATGGACTGAAATCTGTTCATTGAGAACTTATTGTGAGGGTGGGGAGGCCCTGGCACAGGTTGCCCAGAGAAGCTGTGGCTGCCCCATCCCTGGAAGTGTCCAAGGCCAGGTTGGACGGGGCTTGGAGCAACCTGGGCTAGTGGAAGGTGTCCCTGCCCATGGCAGGGGGTGGCACTGGATTAGCTTTAAGGTCCCTCCCAACCCAAACTACTCTATGATCCTATGGACTTGGCAATGTTAAATTCTGCGTGCTTAGCTTAATTATCTCAGTGGAGTAGGATAAAAAGTATGCACTATTACATGTTTTGAAGTCTCCTGTGGCTTGCTAGATGAAAAGGTTTTATGCAATCATTAGCAGATAACTTCCTGGGTTCTGTCACTTTGCAGGGGAAAGCACTTATTTGAGCAGTATTTTTACTCCATTACAATTCCATACAGTCCTTGAATACTTACTCTTGTTTTAAACTAGACAACTGTGCAATGCAACAGCTTAATCTTCTACCCAATTAACTTGAATCTGGTTGAGCCCCAGCTCAAATCTGTTGGTATCTAGCTTGGCATCTACCTAGAGCTCAGTATCACTGATGCAGATGTTGAAAACCAGAAAGGAGCCCTAGAACTCAGAGATCATGAAATTCAAAGGCAAGGATTCTTTCTCAGTGAGTACTGACTTCAGTCAGCAAAAGTACCTTAAATAAATCTGACTGGAACAAAAAGACACAGGCAGCCCTTAGCTTTTTTAGCATTTCACATACTCTAAACTGACAGGGCATGTGTGCAGCAGGCAGTTACTGCTCAATCCCTCACACAATCACTATTCCGCATCTCAGTGGGTATGCTCATCCCAGTTTTGTGTCACACATATCTTTCTCTCCTTGCTCCTCTCCCCTTCTTCCAAGGAACCATGCAAAAAGAACCTCCCCACAGGAGCATGACGTTCTACAAAAGACCTCAGACACTTAATTTCACTCCTGAAGCTGCTCCTGAGAAGGAAATAAGCAGTCATGTTAAAGCACAGGTGATAACCTCCTTTCTTTCCTAGAAAGCAGATACAGGACACCCTGTTCTTGGAGACCCCCTCCCCGTAAGGGTAAGGAAACAAATACTAACCACTGAAACACCTTCCAGAGGGATGGATTCTGAATCCTCTGTATTTTAAGGATGCTGTAGGTTTTCATAGTCTGATGGAACAGCTGCTTTATTGCGTTGTATTCAGAGGTCACACTACTGATCACCACTGCCTATAAAATACAAACCAAGCATAAGAAGACATGAGGCTTCAGTTGGCTCGTAACATGTGGAAGCCTAATTACAGCAGGTACACTTCCAGAAGGGTCCCCAAACTATCCTTATAAGGGTAATGTAATGCTTTAGATAGTGACTATGTGAATAATTAAATAATAAATCAGTATGTCACTCCTGCTTTGCAAGAACACCTCACCTCTCTTCAGAAAGGATGCTGAAAGCATCAGTTACAGGTTTATCATCTCCAAGAGCTGACACTTGCAACTTTAAATCTCAGTGAAACAAAAAAGAAAACTTGACTCATTATTCCAGATAGTGTCAGTTTTATATCTAAAGCTGATTAAGAACAAAAGATGTTAGATAACAGTATCATTTGTAACCAGACATTTATGGGAGCTTCAGCTGGGAAACAAAAAGCACACCCACCCTCCTGGCATTGTAGCACCTTAACTTTTCAAAGTTAGAATTTGGAAAGCTGCACTTAAATATAGACCTAAGAAAAGAAGCTACAATTCTAAACAAATGTGACACTAAATACCTGCTTAAGCAAATACATCTCCTTTCCTGAAGGTAACTAAGTGTATTAATCTATTATTCTTTTATTTATCTATTTATCCCTACTTTTCATGTTTAAAAATCTGTTAAGAAATGCACATTTTTTCCCAAGGAAAAGTTAATGCAAAATATAATTAAAACATTATTTAAGCTCTTCTGCTTGCTTATGTCATACATAAATTTCCTATTTTTTCTCCAAAGTAACCCATGTCTTTAATCTTCTGGAATTAATGTTTATCTCCATAAACTGCAAAAGCATGATGCTGGCAGACTGATGTCACCTGATGATACTTTCCACTTTACCGCAGCCCAAGCCAAGTGGGGACTCAACATGCCATAAAGTGAAATGCCCAACATCCCACGTTCTAAAGTGTTATAAGCAGGAAAGCTGGAGCCATCCTGGAGGGTAACAGCAAACCAACATCCTGACCTACCAGGCAAAACCTCCACATTTTAGAAGGCTGAGTTTGGAGAGAATATAAAATAGGACTTGTATTTCACAGCTGCATAAAGAAGTGCTTTTCTGGACACCATGCCCAGCTTGTGTATTAAGTACTTACTAATGAAGAGACCTGTCACGGGGAAGTCTATAGATGAAGAATAAAGTCAGCTGCACAAGAAAGAACCATTTCTTTGAATTTATTTAAAATCTTTAATAAGGTTGAGCAAAATTTCCCACGTCTCAATAGAGGAGCATTTTCCAGAGCTGCTTTACAACACAAGACATAAAAGAACTGGGATGAGCAAAAACTGATTATCTGCACACTCTGTGGCACCACAGTTCAAGCTGTTCACTATCACCTACAGGATGAAAATTATGTCACTGTACTTCAATACTACATCTTTTATTTAGAATCAGAGAATGGTTTGGGTTGGAAAGGACCTTAAAGCTCATCCAGTCCCACCCCCTGCCATGGGTAGGGACACCTTCCACTACCCCAGGTTGCTCTGAGCCCCATCCAACCTGGCCTTGGAACCCATCTATTCCAGGGATGAGGCAGCCACAGCTTCTCTGGACAACCTGTGCCAGGGCCTCACCACCCTCACAGGGAAGGATTTCTTCCTAATATCCCATCTAATCTTATTCTCTGTCAGTGTGAAGCCATTCACCCTTGTCCTGTCACTCCAGGCCCTTGTAAATAGTCTCTCCATCTTTCTTGAGGGCACCTTCAGGCACTGGAGGGCGACAATTAGGTCACCCTGAAGCTTCTCCAGCTGAACAATTCCAACTCTCTCAGCCTTTCCTCCCAGCAGAGCTCTGCATCCCTCTGTTCATCCTGGTGTCCTCCTCTGGACTCACTCCAGCAGCTCCATGTCCTTCTGCTGTTGCTATGCTGCATCTTCCAGATAGTGTGACTCTGGGGGGTGTCCCTTGCAGGGCCAGGAGTTGGAATGATGATCCTGATGGGTCCCTTCCAACCCAGTATATTCTGTGATTCTGTGATCTTTTCCTGAGGAACTGTAACCTTCTTAGGTAAAACAGAGGCTCAGCCATGTGGCACAAGGCCTAATCCTGTAAGAAAGGTACTGCTATTATTTTATAATATGTTGGCCTCCAGAAAACAAAGCCTGTTCTCCTTTCCATGAAAACTTTGTGGGGTTGTCCTCATTTCCCCGAGGATGCTTCCACTGCTAATAAAGGGTCATAGCTGGTGCAGGCTGATACTTTATAACTACACAACTTTTTCAGTGTTTTTCACCTGCAGGCCTGAAAAGGAAAATCCTGCTGTGAGCATTTGCTGTCCCGTTATCAAGGAGAGGAGTTCCTGAGGCAGAGCAAGAATCACTGCCCTGACAGTGATTTCCATTAGTGTGTGACTGTACAAGCACAGTACTCTGTGATACCACACCGTGAGCTCTGCTTCCCTTGGAGTTTGGAGGGAGCAGAGTTAGTATTAGTGACAGTGACCTGACCAGAACAAGTCTAATACAAAAAAAGCCTTTTTTCTAGCGTCCTGTAGTACTTCCACAAACTGTGCTGCTTTTCCAGAATGACTGCTGGAGGTAGTAAGCTAAAAACACCCACACATTTTGGCCCTGGTAAACTAAATAGGAACATACACTTTGGCTGACAGTGGGTGGGTTTGTTTTGTTGAAGAGATCACTCCAAATGTTCTCTTATTTTATTGCCATAGCTCTTTATTTCTGCCATTCCTGGAGGCCAAGGTCTGTGCTCAGATCTGTGATGTATGCGACAGTACTGGAGGATACAGAGATTTCCTTTCCTAGATTTCCAATCCAAACGTTATCTACCAACAGCCACGACAGCATTACTGGACAGCCTATTAATGGTTTGCAGGGTCTGGTCTCAGTCCAGCTTCTAGTGAAGAAATACATGCTTCATAAAAGCCCTTTGCCTAACTGGTCCACTGAGTAACCAAGGTAAGGCAGTTTTTAATTTTAACAGTGAATCTTTTTGTCTCGAACTTGGTGAATTTTGGGTTTGCATGTAGATAAATGGTTAAAATGCAGGTGAAGTTCAAGGGAATTTGGCACCTTTTTCAGGAGTTCTTGGGAGATCACCAAGATCTTTAGCACACCCCCCAAGAAATCACTCCTGTCCCTTTTCAGCATCTACACAGAATTGATTCCGTTAAGCTTTGAATCCTGCCTTTCCATCAGAATTACAAGTATGGAAATTAAAAAGATACCTTGTATCCCAAGTCAGGCAGTGCAGATTGATCCCAGTGGCTAGGACAGGCTTGATTTGGAATAGAAGAATCCCTCTGGCTGTTTGCAAACAGACAGAAAATTAAGTAATTAGTAATTCTAGTACTGCTCTGAACATTCAAATTTGCAGCATGCCCTTTGGCCAATTCCTGCATTTAAAAATTAACAAGATAAACCATGAAGAAACTGGGAAATGGCCTCAGACTGTGAGCTGGGCTTTGCATGATGCCACTCCACCATCACAGGCCTCTTGCACTTGCTTTTCTAAGTAACAACTGTGGATGCAGTACCCGCAGTAACAAGTACTCCAGATGTCAGGTGATGCACCAAGCCAACAGTTTGTGATACAGCCTCTGTTCAGTGCCGGGGATGTACTTCCTCCCTCAGCAGCTGTGTTCTTTGCACAGTTACTGCCAGCACTGGCAGCCATTTTGCCCTATAATCACTTCTGAAATATGAAAAAAACAACAACATAAAGAGCATCATTTACCCTTTCTTTATCTTCTGAAGACACAAATTTTGGTCTCCTGCAGACCTCTCTTCGAGTTTTAAAAGCAATGTTTGTCTGGGTCATTTCTTGAGGAGAAAAAGAGCAGGAAAAAAAATCATGAATAAATCTACAGGATGGGGTCATTAATTAAGGACAGGCATTCTTTAATAGAAAGTGCATATTCATTACCAATTCTACCTGCTGAAGAACAGTTGCACAAAGCCTATGTAAGCTTCTTGTCCTTCCTGTAACTGTGATTGAACCTGTGCCTATCTTGCTTGCTCCCTCAAGCCCCTCATGCTCTTTAAATGTTACTCCAGCAGCACAAAGAGGCTTGATTTGTATTTTTTACCATCCACAGAGTTAATTCACTTTACTTAAGGTTTACTATGACTTTATGTGAAGACTATGAATCTTTTTATTTCTGGTCATATGTGAGTCTGGAGAGTGTCAAGGAATAAGGGAGAAGGTTATTTTTGTAAGGAATTTTCTCTGGACGGTCACTACCTCACTTCCCCTTCCAATAAGTGAAATGGTAGTGTCAGGAAAGGAAGTCATAGCTTCTAAAAGCTGGGAGAGTTTGCAAGTTAAGTCTTCGTACAGCACAGCATAGTTGTACGTGAGAACCTTTAAAATGAGTACCTTTAAAATTGAGGTTGTAATGATGCTGACCAGCCTGGAAAGATATGGTGGCATCTGGATCTGCTTGATACAAATTCTCAAGAACAGCAGAAGATGGCGAGTCCACACTGTCCCCTTCTCCCTTTGTGGGAAGAAGAGAAAAAAAGAGAGAGAAGGAAGAGTATCACAGTCAGGACTAAACCCTGGATAACTCACTTGGGTAGAGGGAAAGAAGAGGTAAAGAGTAGGATGAAGAGGAATCTACTCAGAACTCTGGTGGCCTGAAGCATGCATGAGTAAGGAACATTCATAATGTAGACACAAATACATAAGTAGTAATGACAGAAGGAGTGTATCCTGTAAGAAATTGTGTTGGTTTGGGCTGGGGTAGAGTTACATTTCTTCCCAGTAGCTGTAGGGGCCACGCTTTGGGTTTGTGCTGGATCAGTGCTGGTAACACAGGGATCTTTTAGTTCTTGCTGAGCAGGGCCTGCACAGAGCCAAGGCCTTTTCTGCTCCCCACCCACCCCACCAGAGAGGGGCTGGGGGGCACAAGGACTTGGGAGGGGACAGGACAGCTGATCCCAGCTGGCCACAGGGACATCCCAGACCACGTGGGGTGATGCTCAGCACATAGAGCTGGGGGAGAAGGAGGAAGGGGGGATGTTGGAGTGATGGTGTTCATCTTCCCAAGTCACCGTGACCGTGGTGGAGCCCGGCTTTCCTGGGATGGCTGAGCACCTGCCTGCCATGGGAAGGGGGGAATTAATCCCTTGTTTGTCTTTGCTTGTGTGCATGGCTTTTGCTTTCTCTCTTAGTCTTTATCTCATCCCACCAGTTTTCTCACTTTTACCCTTCTGATTCCCTCGCCAGTCCCATGGCAGGGGAGGGAGCGAGCGGCTGTGAGGGGCTGAGCTGCCATCCGGGTGTGATGGCTGCACTCGGCTCCTCACCAAACTAGTGTTCGTTTGGTTCAGGCCCCAAAGGAAGTAATGGCCTAGGCCATGACAAGGCCATGAACTTTTCCAGTTCCAACCTGTTCTCTGAAAACCCACAAAGGCACAGGGTGACATGGTGAGCATTGATGCATATGAGCTTGGAAATGAACACTGACCATGTGATTAACACATGAATAGCAGGTGGTTGTTCCAAGACTAATTTGTCAAGGAGTAAAGAAAGTTGCAGGTTTAAGGAGTCTCACGCTTCTCTTTTACTTTGCATGTAATTTAACTCTGAGCCAACCACTTTATTCCACAAATAGGACAGCCTGAGTGAACTGGTTTCGAGCTCTCCCTGCTAAGGAGTGGGCTGCACAGCAGTGATCTCTCCTGGAGCTGGGACGCCTCTCAAGCTTACTCCTTGAGGCTGAGGCCCTTTACCAACTGCACTATATCCAAGATCTTTCCCTGCATACTTTTCCAAGTCCCTGGATCACCTTTGTGTTCTACCATTTGGACAGCTATACTGTAAAGCATATGAGGAAAACTCATTTGCCTTGGGGGAAGGTGAGATTCATTATTTCTTTTCCTGCATTTTTCAGATAGGTTAGTTTCTCATCAGAGGACCTGGCCATCCAAGGAAAAAGACTGCATCTTATTTGAGAGAGCAAAGCAACCCTTGCATGTCCAAGGAAGCAGGGCAATGATTCGAAGAGAGGCAAGTACTATCTTAAGGACTGTGTATACATGTTCGATCTGTGTAGAAGCCATGGATAACTCCAAAAGGCAGTTCCCTTCCCTCCAGCCTGTCAGCATTTTATCACATCTGTTACGAACATCTGTAGCTTTGCTGCCTTACCTGACACTGTAAAATTCAAGACAAGGATTCACTTAATTAATCCTGCTGAGTAAAGGGGAGTGGGGGGAGAGGCTCCACATACTCCTGTAGAAGTGACTCAAAGCACAGGATATGAACTCACCTGCTCTCCATATTCAATCCACTGGCCTTCGTTATTCTTCCAGTACCAAATCCACTGTGTGGTCAGTACGAATGTGGGTTTTGTGACTGATGACGGTGTAGAGAGGCGTCGAACCGGAGAAGAAGAGCAGGTCATTGTCTGGAAGTTAATGTTCCTACCTGCTATGCTGTAAGGACATATTCAGGGTTTTTACAGTTAACAGTAGATCTTTTATCCTCTAATCCTCTGTTTAGGCTTGTGCAATTTTCTTTAATATAATGTGACTGAACTTAATTAGGCCTGAATAAAGAGTATTTTCCACAGCACATGACAGCTCTGAAAACCATATCCAAGCTTCATAAGCAAACTATGTCCTGTGAGACATGGAATGCCATCTCAGTCACTGGCCATATGTGGCACTGCCAGCTTTACAGACAGCACAGGACTACAAGTACAGCATGCCAAAAGGTACTCTGCAATAAGGAAAGTTTCCAGTTTGTCTCAGTACAAAACCAGAATTTTGTAGGTACACGCAGCTTATCAACTTGGTTCTTTTCCTGTGGTTACAAAGGATGCAATCACAGCCATCACAGCTGTGAGGTCTGCAAATTATATTCATCACTGGAGCTCTGGGCTCTTATTCCTGTGATGCTTGAAAAGTTAACTCCCAGGCAGGAAGACTTTGAAAGCAGCCTCCTCTTGTGAATCTTGCTTGTGGTCTGCACCATCCAGCAAGATGCAGTTCAAAGTCATCTGTTGCCTTAAGAGGCATGGGCCAAAATTACTATACATTTTTCGAAGCCAGACTTGGGGTCCCCTATGAATCCAGGTGGCACAGTGGGGCTTTTCAGAAAGGACTTAAAATAGAAAGAAAAACAGGAAAAAAAAGAGATATGCTGCTTACACAAGGGCCATCTCATAAAATGTCTCTAGGCACACAACAGATATTGCTAATATTATTATTATTGTTGTTGTTGTTGTTGTTATTTTTATTATGCATACTAGCTGTTCTAGGAAAAGAACAGCCATAGAGAAGGACCAGCTCTGATATGTTGTTAAAAGGCCCAACTTCATTACTGTAAATAAATTATGATTCATTATCTGAAATGCTGATATTCTAAACACTGTATTCCACTCGCTTTTTACCCTGCACAGAGCTTTAAATGTAAGATACAGTTTTGTTATTTTTAGAAGACATAAATGGGGTGATATTATCACGCAATCACTTTTACTTTGCTTTTTAAAAGGAAAAATTCTCATTTGTACATCCTCACAGATTCTGAGAGGCTCAGTAGCCAGAAGATACGGAAGTCAGACATCTTTGGAAGAAAATGGGAGTTTTTCCACAGGGGTTCAATCACAGTACTCCAAGCAAAGAGTTCAGCATCACTATACCTGCTGTTTTTTGGGTCACAATAGGCCTTTTCAATTTCCTCCATCATGGAAAGGTCTTTCCAGGTGATCCCATCATATATCTCCCATTTATATGGCAAATGGTAATGAACAGATTTGCATTTATCTGTAATGAGATCAGACACAGTCAAACAACAAAACCCAAAAAGGAACCAGCAGATTTTACACCTTGAGGCTTTCTCCCTGGGCTTTGGTATGAGCAATGAAGATAGTGCTGAAAACAGGAGGGGGGGGTGTTTCTCCAGTGAGTGAGTGAGAAGGCACAATTGCCACTGACACTCCATATGCCACCACTAGCCCGAGCCACTGAGCAGGGACTGTCTCTGCAGTCACTGTTCTCCAGTGACTACATTACTTTTTATAGAGCTTACCCTTATGTTTGCAGTACTTCCAGACATAGAACACACAGATCTCATCACAGTTAACTTCTTTGTTGTCCTTTGAAGCTTCAGCAGAGGAATCGTCCTTTTTATCTACAGGAAAGAACACATCAGTCCTTATTTGCTTCAAGAGAAAGACACTGTTTGGTCCTTCATCCCAGAAATAACAAAGATTTGACTGCAGTAGCCAAGTTAAGCACTTTCAGGATTTGACTATCCCCCATACAGCCCACCACACGAGTCAGGGCTTTGTGACTGACCAATAAGCCCTGACACTGGAAGAAGTTTCAGTGGAGAAGCACAAGGGCAGTGTCAGGAAGAGTAACACAGGCTGTGGCTGACCATGGTTCTTGCAAAGCAGCCAACTTTGTCTCCACACCACGGGAAGCAGAGGGTGGATAAATGGCAGTGTCAGCTCAGCAGATCGATGCACGGTAGAAATGTTTCTCCCTGAGTTGGCCAGATCAGCATGGGGGGAGTTCAGCCCAACACAGAGGTACTAAACCTGAAGAACTAACAAAAGAATTCTCAAGACAGCAACAGGCTTCAGCTGGCTTTAACCCTTCCCAGAGACTGGGGACACCCAGCTTTGTGACAATGAGCATATTATACAGACTTGTAATGGGAGTGCCATTAGCATTGTGATTGAACTGTGCATTGCAACTGCTACATTTTGGTAAGTAAACATTTATATTTTGGGTTTTGTTTCCAGTGGAAACTCTACTACACCAGAAATGTCTCTGTACTGGACTTGGCTAGGATAAGATGTAATTTTCTTCATAGCAGCTCATATGATGCTGTGTTTTAGATTTTTGACCCAAACAATGCTGATAACACCCTGATAAGCCCTAGCTTTTGCTGAACAGTGATACACAGCATCAAGACCGCCTCCGTTTTTCACCCTGCCCTCAAAGTGAATAGACTTGGGGGTGCACAGTAGGTTGGGAGGGACACAACTGGGCAGAGAACCCAAACTCACCAAATATTGCATACTATAAAGCATAATGGTCAGCAATAACAGGGAAAAGAGGGAGTTTTATGAGGGTTAGCTCTCTTTTGCTCAGGAACTGGCTAGGCATCAGCCTATGTGTGAGAGGTGGTGTGTGACTGCCTTTGCATCACTGCTTTTGCTTTGTTTTCTTCTTCTGCTTATCCATCGGGGTTCTTCTCCCTCTCCCATCTTGACCCTTAAGCTTTCTTGTTTTTATTCTTTCTTTTCTCTTCCCCATCCCACTGGGGGTCGAGGGGAAGTGAGTGAGTGGCTCTGTGGTGCTCACTGAGGCTTGTCCACAACACCTGTGTAACACCAACTGTCTTCAAAAAAGCTCAAGACTGGAGGGTTAGAAACAATCCGTACCTTCATCTTTACCTCCAGCTCCTGTTGGCAACTGCTGTTGTCTCTGACCAGGCAGGGTGCTACCAGGACCTGCATGAGAAGACTGAATGAACAGCACTGCTGGGCCACAAGCTCAGCGAGCTGGCAATATCCCAATCTGTGTGGAGAATTATGTCCATCACACATATAATTGTGCTCCACTGCTGATGCAACAGATGAGTAATAACAGCTGCAAACCCTAGCTAGTCACAGTTATTGCCAGCCACTCAATACCTATTTTGTATGCAGTATTTTAGGCAATAATAGTGCAGTTCTCCCACATGATTCAGCCATGACTTACTTAATTCCGGAAAGTAGATAGGAGAGAGGAGAA